ATATGATTATTTTTTAATAAAAAAAATTCAGAAAAGGTAAGTAAATGGTAAATTATCCTTAGTCTAATTTTATCTATTTCTTTATATTATAGGATTTGAAAGCTTAGCTAATGATGATCAGATTGCACTATTAAAAGGTTCTACAATTGAAGCCATGTTTTTATGCTCAGCACAATTATACAATGAACAAGGGACTGAATATCAGACACCATTTCATGAAAGTAAGTTTTAATATTACCGTAGCATTTTTATTTTGTGTATATAATGAAGTGGCTCAATGTTTACATAAACTTGTCCCATCAATGCCCTTTCTTTTGAATGACCTTTTCCTCTAACATTGTATTAAGCAATATTTTTGTAATGTGACTTATTCTGTTAAAAATATTTTTAAAAGAATATTTGGTTATTTTGTTCTTTATTGTAGATCATATAAAATTTTCTGACCATACTATATGTGGCCAAAATAAAAATGCTTATCCCACAGAAATGTCTCATAGAGAAGAAAGTCCAACATCTACTAGTACAGCAGGTAACGAGGCTTTGTGATATATTCAATAAATGGCTAAATAATTATTTAATTTAAATATATCTAGTTTCAAAAAGTAAATAAAATATCTTGAAAATTCTTCTACTGAATTTTTAATAATGAAGTATCTTCATGTTATATTTTTGATTTCATTTAATTCACTATCTGGATTTAGCATCTTGATACCCCCACCATGTATATTTTTTAGTTTCTGAATCCTGGAATCATCTTTGGCCACTTCAACCTTTATTTGCCTCTTTTCTAGTGTCTCTTTTACTTTGTTAAATGTTTCCTCTTTATTTTGCACTTTTGTTTCTCACATAGTTCATCACCCCAATTGTTAATATGTTCCATGGTCTGACTTCTTAAAATTATAATTATACAATTAAACTATTGTTTAGTAGTTTTTTCTTGTTCTTCCCACATGAGATGGTAGTGTGGGTGTTATTATTTTATGATCATATAACTTTGAAGGACTTCCATTACTTTATTTTTCTCAAGTTTAATTTTGGAATGTTTTTCTTCTTACTATCTGGAGAACCCATAGTGCTCTACCTTTTAAAAAAGAGTTTGTTTCTTCAGTTTTCATTTAAGCTTTTTCTGTTGAGTTTTAAAAGCCTTACCTTTTGCTTATTTTCTCCAAACATGCTAATTTTCACTGATTAATTTTTTTATCCACCATTCTGATTCCTCTAACATGATTCTTTAATATCCATTGTGTTTACTACATTTAACTTATTTAAAATGCCAACAAACCTCCTCACAAAAATGTTTCTGAATGAATTTTACTTATTTATATTTAACCTAATATTTGTTTTAAGAATGAATCAATGATATATTATTTAGCTATCATCTGATATTTTATGTTATTTTTATAGGTATAACTGAGGAGTTTATCACCGCATTATTTTATTTCTATAGAAGCATGGGAGAACTTAATGTGACCGCAACAGAATATGCATTGCTAGTTGCAACTACGGTGTATTTTTCAGGTAGCTTTAGCAATTACTTTTTAAAAAGTTCAAATTTTAAGAACGAGAACAGAAGTTTTATTTTTCTCTTTTAGGACTAACATAATTTTCCACATTTCAATAAATCTTTAATAAGACCCTCCCCCCTAAATTAAGTATTTATTTCTTAAAAGGTACAATACCATATTATCCCTATTCTGCTGAAATTAGCAGAATCATTACCTGAATGGGCATAAGAGATTTCTGGAAAACCTATGGCCAATAGAACAAGAATATATACAGTAGTATTCTCATAGCAAACATGATTTCTACTTAAGAATGCAATGCTATCTTTTTGATATTGCTTGGTAGTTGACATAAGAACACAAATAGATGCATTCTGACATAAGGATAGATAAGCTGGTTGGGTTGCTCGGTAATTTTGAAATATCCTAACAGTTCAAAGTTGGAACTGACAGTTATTTTGTTTTACACAAAATCATGTGTATTTTTATATTAAAAAATCATATTTTTCAGATCGACCACTCCTAAAAAACAAGCAACATGTAGAAAAACTCCAAGAACCTTTTTTAGGAATTCTGTACAAATATTCAAAAATCTATCACCCTGAAGAACCACAACATTTTGCCCGTCTCATAGGGCGGCTCACTGAACTCAGAACACTTAATCACAACCACTCAGAAGTACTAGTAACTTGGAGAACAAGGGATCCTAAGCTGACTTCTTTACTTTGTGAAATGTGGGACTTGCACTGAAAAATTGCTACTTTATGTGAATTGTTACAAAGGACTTTTTGTCAAATATGCTGTTCCTTAATTCTTACACTTTTAAGAAATCATTTATGTTAAATGACTTATATCTCATAAATCTGTCATGATAACTATTCAGAATGTTAGCTTGTGTTGTGAAAATACCCATATACATTTGGGTAAGCAAAATATGAAAATGTGTACAATTTATTGACTAAGTATTACTGCCATATTTTAAAAGATATATGTAAAAATTGTTTAAACTGTTAGATATCATAATGCATTATATATCTTTATATGAACCATTCAGACCTCTGTTAAAAGGTGGGTTGATTTTCCCTGTGGATTATATTAGGCTTTAATTAGTACTTACACTATTCTATTTCATCAATAAAGAAAAAAACATGGTCATAGGAAGAATGTTTTATACTGTAGCTCACACATACACGAACACTGCAAAGGTATTGACCTGGCAAATATTACAATCTGTAACTTATTTGGGTGCACTGCATAAATGTTGGTTGATTAAATTTACCATTTATGCATGTCCCCAAGCCATGTCATTCACATCATATTATAATTCATCGTTTGCCAAAGCTGAATACTTACAATAATTAAATAATAACATTTAATAATGTTATTTCACCTGTATGTGAAGTCATGTTGTAGATGGACTATTTTAGAAGTATATTTTAGAACTTATTCATGCCAACTTCATTTGTGAATACAACTAAGATTTCCAATGAATTTGAAAGGGATACTGTATATAAAATAAAAACAATTGAGTTGAACTTAGCTTCTGGACACTGCTATGAACAATGTTTCCTTCTCAGCAATAATGGAAGTGTCTTGTCACTACATTCCTTTGGGATTTGTTTTCAGTCACTGCATTCTTTTGGGATGTTATTTTCACCAGGAGTTTTCTGGTCTCCCATCCAAGAACCAAGCAGGTTCCATCTTGCTTACTCTTTATTAACACCAGTCATGGCTAGACATTGCCATCTTTTTGGATTTTATGGTTTAGTACTAGAGGCTAATTTAGACTGGTATTGATGATTTACATTAATATAGTGATAATCCACATCTTATCTTTTAATATAATTTCTCAATTAAAAAAGCTTCCTGTTAATTTCTATTATTGTAACTTTGAAGATATATATCTTAAAATTCTACTCTTTTTATATTGGAGATAATATCTTTGCATTTAAGTATTATTATTCATATCTAAAATAATATTGTGTTAATGACATCTGAATATAAAGCTAATATTTTAAATCTTGTTTAGTGCAATATTTTAGGTATATATTTAAGTCTAATAAATGGACTATCAATTAATTGATTTTATATGCTTAATTGGGTCAGAAATCTTTATTTCTAAAATACATTTGTACACGTTTAAAATGGTAGTCCTCTAATTTAAAGTCATATTGTAGCATTTCAAAATTTGGAAGAAATAAAACAGACCAAGGACAGTACCACTTTCCCAAGATTGCAGCTACTGCATGGTACATTCAGAGGTTCCGTTAGTTCCCAGTTGAAATTTCTGCGAATAAACACCACCTAATTGCTCTTTTTGTTGGTAGAATAAACATTCACCGCACATCCTCGTTATCTTATCTGATTTGGCTACACGCAGATTCTCTAATGTAATGCTTCCCAATTCGGCGTCATTGAAATCGGCTTGCTCCATTTTTAGATGCAAGTGACGGCGAGACCTTGACTGATTTCCTGACACCATTTGCGAAGGTTGAGTAGCCTTACTCATTTGAAAGGTAGTTTACCCAGACCAGCTATCGGCGGCTTTCCAGAACTGAATCCGGGACGGGCATCTGTTTGCGAAGCCACAGTTCTTTCTCATGTCTTAACATACTTCCCCCCCAGTTCTTATCATAGTGTTCAGTCCAATTCGCTACAACAGTTGAGGTTTTGTGAAGACTTAGGGTTGTTTTCATCAACAAAACGTGAAAGAAGATCCAACTGTCTATGGAGATTCTCAGTCATCCAGGTCATGGTTGTCCCAAAGGTGCTTTTTTCAAGAGGCAACTGGACTTTCTGGTTTTCGCTTCTCATCCAAGAAGCTTCTTCAGCGAAACGTCTTCAAAGAAAAACCAGAAAGTCCAGTTGCCTCTTGAAAAAAGCACCTTTGGGACAAGAAGGGCCGACTGTTGCGAAGGGATCGCGGGAGGATGGAGTCTACCTGCGAGGCGGGCGGGTGAACCGCCGATTAACGAGATACTGACCATTAATGCTTAATCTTTGGGCAGACGCCCCTTCCCGCCCCCGCCCCCTCTCAGAATTTACCTGAAGGAAAAGGCGTTAAACCGCCGACCTGCGGCTCGCGCTTTTGCACACGGCTCTGGATCGATTTGTTTCCCGCCTTTTTCTTTTTTATTTGCTCCAGTTTTTGGGTCGTTACGCCCGGAGGTGCTGTTTGAGGTAATGATTCATTCATGCACGGGTCTCCTGGCCCAAAAGCTGTATTTCCATTCCTCGCAACCTCCATGTGTCCGAGAGTAACATTTTCTCGGGGCTGAGAACGGGATCTTATGTTTGTGATCTTTATGCATGATTCTAAAGCTTTTCGGTTATAGATACTATTGCGCTATAAAAGAAATGTTTAACAATAAAAATGTTCGATTGCTATTGTTAAATATTAAATATGCCAACTAATTAAATATGTCAACTAATAGCGAAATGCATGCACTATTTAATTAAAAACAAAATCTCTGCTCGCTATAGTACATGTTAGTAATGTGCTATTTGGCATTTGCATTCATTGTCCTTGGAATGTAAAATCTACATTTAGTTAAGTTTGATTCTTTGTTTCATTAGTAATGTTGACAGATGACACTGTCTCAGATTAAAGTTAAGATTTACCTGAACATTATTATTTTTATGCTGATAGGCTTTTCAAAATGCTGAAAGATTGACAATTGATCTAGAAATCCATGAGAGAGTAAAGTAAGAGGAGAGAATTATAGACAACTAGAAAAGAAGTACATTTGTTTACATATTCCTAAACATATTGATAACGAACGTTTCTGAATTGATTGGGAGTCATTTACAGGTAAATAGCTGTGGCTTCAGTTATTCTGTTATTATATTTTAACTAAATAAACACATTGTAAGTTCATCATTATTTCTTGACAGTTCAGTCAAAGGCAGTTTTATTATTATATTTTGATTTTAAATATGTTTTTGTACTTGCTTCTTTCCCTCTAGATAATGTTTAAATTTTGTGGCCTTAGGCATATCCTTTCTCTGTGCTTTACCATAAGTCAGTCTTGCTAAATTTGAAAGCCCTCCTTTTCTGATAAGGGCCTTGGACTTCTATCCCCACTTTTCTATTTTATTGGTACCATAACATTCTTCACTAAAATATCCAGGAAAAAAAGAGCAATTCTATGGAGACTTTTCATATATAGTAATGAAACCTATGCAAAATTAAATCAACTTTATCCAGAAAAGTATTCTAAATAGTGTTAATACCAGCTAAATATTTTATCATTTATTTCTATGTTTGTTAGTTTATTCCATTTGTATGCTTCTGAATCTGCCAGAGACTCCAATGGTTTACAAAAATAAATCAGCAATGAAAACATCCATGGTAAATGTTTTTCTTAACTTGAATTATAATAATAAAAATTCAGTGTAATAAAACACTAGATTAGAAATAAAAGTGTTTTGTATTAAGAAATCAAAAGAACATATTTAGGCAATTCAAAAGCTGTCTAAACTGAGGCTCTAAACTGAGGAGAGAGTCATAGCTAACTGTATGTATCTCATAGCAAAGCAGCTTACCATGATCTTATGTTCTAAGATTCCTATGTATGTGTTTGATTCCAGTTTATGTCATTGCCTCATGAATAATAGTTTATTTAATTGAAATTGGCTTTTTTCCTGTTAAATAACAGCAGAACCTGCTGTTAAATTCAGCAGGTTCTGACCAGTTCTGGAGAACTGGTAGCAGAAATTTTGAGTAGTTCAGAGAACTGGCAAATACCACCTCTGACTGGAGATTTTACAGTATCCTTCCCCTGCCATGCCCACCAAGCCACGCCCACAGAACCGGTAGTAAAAAAAAATTGAATCCCACCACTGAATATAAGTAATTTTTTTTTAAATTTTTATCCCAACCATTAGAATAGTAATAATGCTAGCCTACTATATAGTTATAGCTTATTACTGGTATCTAGTAGTAAATTGTATAAGAACTCGTACTCTGATCTGCAGAGTATGAAAAAGTGCAAAGAGAAGCAACTTAATGCAATCAATATGTGCAATAAAGCAGGGGTGGGCTTCAAATTTTTTAGCAAGGGGCCCTTTGCCCTAATGACTGTCTGGGGGTGGGTGGCTGGGTAGGCATGGCCAACTCAACACCACTCCCACTCAGTCACATGACCCCCAGCCATGCCTACCCAGGGTTTTGTTGCTCCTGTTTTCTGTGGGAAATGGGTATCTCCCTCCCTCCCCCCTCTTTCTCTGTGTCCCCCTCCCTCCCATTTCTGTGTTTCTCTCTTTTTCCATCCCCTCTCCCTTTCATCTTTCTTTTTCTTTCTTCCTTTCCCCCTTCTCTCTTATTTATTTCCCTCTTTTATTCTGTCCTTCCAGCTCTCTCATTTCTCTCCCCCTCCCCTTCTCTTTCTCATTAGTTTCTTTTTCCTGTCTCATTCTCTTCCTTCATCATTTTCCCATTTCTCTTTCTTTTTCTCCCCTTTTCTCTCTTTCTCTCCCCCTTTGTTTTTTCTTTTTCTTCACCCTCTTTCTTTTTTCCTTTCTTTTTCTTCCTTCTCTCCCTTATTTGTTTCCCTCTCTTTTCCCTCTCTCTCATTCTCTCCCTCCAGCTCCCTCTCTCATTTCTGTGTCCCTCTCCCCCTTCTCTTTTCTCTCTCTCTCATTTGCGATGGCTGCTTTTTACGATTCCACGTCATTTGTGGGCAGCTCAGCGCAAGCCACGGTTCCCTTCATGTCAGCTCAGGAAGGGAAGAGCAGCTGCCACCGCCACCACTAAATGCAGGGAGGGAAGAGCTCTGGCTCTCCTGCGCAGCGCAGCTGGCTACTCACATGAACATGCAGTGGAGGTAGCGGGAGGAGGAGTTGCCATTGCCGCTGCTGTGATCCTGGCCCAGGAGGGTGTCCTGCTTGTGTGTGTGTACACACATGAAAGAGAGAGAGAGGAGAGAGAGAAAAGGAGAATTCCCTTTTCTCTCATTTCTCTCATCTCTTTCATCCCCACTTGTGCGGTGGGGCCAGCCAGGAATGGGATTTGGGGGCTCACTGAGCCCTGCAAAATCTTAGCTAGGGGATTGCCCAAGCCTCTGCGAGCCCCCAACAGCCCACCCCTGGTAAAACATTGCTAAATGTTATTTTGAGATTTGAGTCTGGTTTCTTTTTAGAGTGAGAAAGAAGAAGATAAATCTTTTAAATTTAAATTGTTTGTACCACCAAGACTGAGTAACACTCAGGTGTCTGCAGTCAAACCACAAACAAGTACACGGGATGAGGGCTTCTTTCAGGTAAATATGAAAATATCCTTTTTTCCCCTAAGTAAATGCAGAATAATGTTAGTTTATCTTGTGAAATCATTTTCTAACACTTTAGTAGTTCTAAACTTGTCCTGTGAATGAATAATTAATTTTAACTGACTTTTTCATTCTGAATCATAATTTAATTTCATCTTCATACATTACTAGCTGATAACCTGGTTGTTGCCGGGTATTTATTTATCCCAATCCTGTATTAGACAGAAAAATCCTGTAATCCTGTTGTACTGTCTCTCGTGCAGCATCACAACTCTCCTATTCCTCTCCTCGGTTTTTTTTTTTTTTTGCTGGTGTTTCATTTTTTTGATTGCACTTGGCCAATCGCCTGATGTTTCCTTGGAGGGCTGAGAGGGAGCCCCCTTGTGGAGTACTGGGGTACTGTGGAGCCGTTACCATGGCAAGTTCACTGTGCTATGCAGTAGAAGCCATTTTAAGGCACACATAAACACCCCGAGGGGTGTTAGGGGTGTCTTACCTCTACAATATTTATTTCCAGAGGGTAAGTCATCGGTGTACCAAGTTTGGTTGAAATTGCTCGAGGCGTTCAGAGTTATGATAGAACACACACACACACACACACACACACACACACACAGAGCTAGAGATAGAGATAGATAGATAGATAGATATAGATATATAGAGATCAATGTGCTATATCTGTGAGTTAATATGTTATAATATATTACTATTTCATAATTTTTTCCAGAATTTTAGTAATGGAACAGAAGAATATTATAACTCATCTTATGGGATGAAAAATATTTCAAAACATATAGAAGTCATTGGTACGTTAATGAATCGATTGCTGGATTTAAAATTGCATTGTTTTATATATGTAATTGATAGATTCTCTGTTGCATTTCTATTTTCTATGTTTCATTTTATTTTTCATTTATATTTTATGGTAACCAGATGAACATGTGCCCAGAAGGAAATGTATTCTATAGTATATAGTGTATACTGTAGTATACACATAGAATAATATAATTAATAACCTCATTCAATAATATTTTAGTACATTAATTCATTAAATACACTAGATATGCATATATTGCCCTTTTATCATGATTCTGAATATTTACAAACATAATGTGGATAAAAACTATGAAACAGAATATTTTAAAAAATCCACTATATCAAACCTGATGAATACTATTGACAAATAAAATTCTAAATAAAAATGGTATTTCTACATTATCACTAAAATTCACATTTTATCTTAAACAAGGAAGACCAATAGCAAAGAGGCTAAAGTAGAAACAAGATGTTCCAAAATTTGATGGGTTCAACAGAGAAAATCTGCCTTCAGGTCCACATCCGCTAATTTTTAGTGGGACCATGTTTTTAAGCAACTGTTCTTTGATAATTATAAAGAAGACAGATAAAATCTATTTGGACAAGAAAGTTCCTATAAAACCAGCATTTTAAATTGGATTTTAAAAGCTACTGACAATCAGTATAGTGATGGGAATATAAATCTTATGTTGCAATAGGTAGCCGTATCACTGCATTATATAGTAGTAATGTAAATATATGTAGTTAAGGATATGAATAATTTATTTATTTATTTGTTTGTTTGTTTGTTTGTGTATTTATTTGATTTGTCAATTGCTTACAAAATAATAGGTATAAGTATAAACATGAGTAAGAGTACAGAAAATAGGTATGATTAAATCAATAGGACAGGGACGGGAGGCACGATGTACACTTATGCATGCCCCTTACAGACCTCTTAGGAATGGGGTGGGGTCAATAGTGGATAGTTGAGGTTAAAGGAGTGAGGGTTTGAGAATGTAACTACAGAGTCAGATAGTGCATTCCAGGCATTGAACACTCTGTTGCTGAAATCGTACTTTCTGCAATCAAGTTTAGAGTGGTTAACAATGAGTTTGTATCTGTTGTGTGCTCTTGTATTGTTGCGGTTGAAGCTGAAGTAGTCATTGACTGGTAGGACATTGTAGCAGATAATTTTGTGTACTACGCTTAAGTCCAACCGTAGACGGCGTAGTTCAAGATTGTACAATCCCAAAATTTCAAGACTGGTGGTATAGGGTATTCTCTTCTAGGGTATATAGGCTAGCAGAGGAATGTAGTACTCTTCTTGTGAAATACTTCTGGACTCGCTCAATTGTATTAATGTCTGATATACAGTGTGGATTCCAGACAGATGAGCTGTATTCGAGTATTGGTCTAGCAAAGGTTTTGTATGCCCTAGTTAGCAATTCAATATTTCCAGAGGAGAAGCTTCGTAAGATTAGATTTATAACTCTTAATGCCTTTTTGGCAATGCTCTTACAGTGAGCTCTGGCACTTAATACTGTTATTAATACTGTTATTAATGCTGCTTAACACTGTTGCCAGGATTTTCTGGTTCAGGAAACCTACACCTACATAGCAGCTGTAGTGGCGCAGTGGTTAGAATGGAGTATAGCCAAGAGTTCAAGACTGGCTGGCTCAAGGGTTGACTCAGCCTTCCTCCTGAGGCCGGTAAAATAAGGACCCAGATTGTTGGGAGCAATATGCTGATATTTTTAAACCGTTCAGAGAGTGCTGTAAAGCACTATAGAGTGGTGTATAATTCTAAGAGCTATTGCTATTGCTATCTGGTGTATCCAGCTAAACTGGGAAAAGACCTCCTTGGCTGTTGCTTTTATTTGCTATTCTAGCAGGAGACATGCCCAATGGAAACTCCAAAATCATGAACCTGATCTTTCACACTATGGACCATTTAGAGCAATAAACAGAACAAAATTGGGAGTCAATATGTTGTGTTGTACAATTAATAATTTTGTTTTCTTAGGATTCATTCCATGCAGTCCCTCACAGTTTCTAGATACTTGACAGGATTTTCAGTCCAGCTTGAGATGGAGATGTAAAGCTCATTATCATGCCCACACTGATAGGGTCTCAGTTCAAATCAGTGGTTTCATGTAAATGTTAGATAGTATAAGAAAGAGCTAAGTGTTGTGACAATCATGGGTTCAGCTGCAATTCCTCCATGACTATGGAGGAATTAGAGCCATCAATTTAGGAAAGACATTAGAATGATATTCCCTACCCCATACATATGTAGGTGTTCTAGATAAATAGAATGCTGCTAAGAAGTATGAAAGTATGATGAGGAGCGTATTATCTCCATTCAAATCTCAACAACAGCCATCTATCAGAATAACCAGTACTGTTTTTAAGTTATGTTCAGATTCTACCCAAACAGGAATCTAGATAATCTGCTTTATCCAGCATGCTCTATTCCACTACATTCTCTAAAGCTTACCACAAAAAGGAAGATTGGAATACGGACAGAAATTGTCTAATAGTGTTGAATCTAGGAACAGCTGCTTCAGGAAAGAGCTAGACCATTGCCTTCTTCAAGATTGGTGGCACTTCTTTTTCTCAAAGAGTGCTCAAAAGAGTAAGATGCTACCCAAACATGATCTAGATAACCTGCTTTATCCAGCATCCTCTATTCTGCTATTTTCTCAAAACCTTACCAGAAAAAGGAAGATTGGAATATGGACACAAGTGCTCAAAAGACTAAGATTGATCATGGATCCAGGCCAGAAATATTGGAGCTAACACTACAAATGAATTTATCTAGTTCCTGGAACTCCAAAAATCAAAATAATACCAGATAACATTTTATATATTACTGTATTTACTTTACTAAATTCCAAGAGCTATTCCACTTTGAGTTAATACTTATGAAAAATTGTAGACCTGGCCTTAGGAATAAGGAAAAAAATGAATAAATGGGGGTGGGGGTGGGGCGGAAAGTTTCAGATGAGATTATGTAATTCTACACAACTCAAAATAACACCTCGCCACTTTTGCTCAATATAAGATGAAATAGAAACTGAAAGGCTTTCAGGAATTTGTTATTCTACTCTGTAATAATAAAGATTTTTTCTTGAACACCTGCTGTATCTAATTTTTGAATTTACCCGTGTCTTGTAAGGACTGACAATACAATCCAGCTTGAAATCAATTTATGGCACTATTCTCACTTGTGGCTAAATTGAGGTGAGCGGACTACTCACATACCAGAGGTGGTATTCAGCAGGTTCTGACCGGTTCTGGAGAACTGGTAGTGGAAATTGTGAGTAGTTCAGAGAACCAGCAAATACCACCTCTGACTGGAGTTTTTACAGTATCCTTCCCCACCAAGCCATGCCCACAGAACCGGTAGTAAAAAAAATTGAATCCCACCACTGTCGCATACCCTCATAATTCAGAGGGTCTCTTCTCTCACCTCATTTAGATAGCCAATTTCAATATTCCCACTTCTTTGGATATCTTACCATAAAAGTCCACTCTTATTTTGAAGACTTCAAAACATAACCAACAGCAGCCTTTGAATGATTTTTCATGCAGTTACAGGTCCCATCCAGCACCACCAGTTTTTCAATCAGAAGGAGGGATCTCTATTTTTCCCCAAACAATGGATGTGATCAGTTATCCATCCATTTCTAGTGTTTCTTCATTCCTACTCTTTCACCCATCCTTATGCAGTCAGTCAAGTTTTATCTACTATTTGTTTCATGTACTATCTTTGAAGAATCACTGTTTTTCCCCCTCTTTCTTTAATGAGAGTTGTACTTTATGCTATTTTCCCCTGGAATTGGAATTAAAAAACAATTTGAGAATAAACAGCAAAAAAAGTGATTAGAACTGATTTTGCAAAGTTATAAATGGGTTAAGGGGTCATTTGGATTTGAAACTAACTACAAGAATCTTCCCTTTGGAAAAAAAAAGTTAGAATTTTATTTAAAAATGATTTTGAAATAAGTATAAAAAACCTTCCTGTGATCCAGGAAGAAACTTCTAGATAAGATGGCAATTTGAAGACTAAAGCTAGAGGGAACCAGGAAAAACTAAAAGTATAAGTATAGGAAAAGAGACCCACTAATACAGAATGGAGCAAATTATTCTGGTTTGAGATAAATATTTGGGAACAATGCACTCCAAAATTACTCTTAAAATTGCTATCATAAAATTATTTAAAAGAGGTTATAGAATCGGGACATGCTTTACTGGACAAGACATGCTGATTTGTAAATGGATTAAAAATGACAGGTTACAAGAATGATATAAGTAAAAATGTTCCACTGGATATACGTACGCATGAATCTGCCAAATGATTTACTAATTAAAATTTATATACAAATTTTAAAAAATGACTTCGATAAATTTCATTTTGGATTTAAAAGTCTTTTAAAGACTTTCTGAGGAGACAGAAAAGTAGAATTCTGGGACACTTTAAAGGAATTAAAAATAAGATTTTAAAAGCAAGTTAAGGAAAATAAAGTTGGTTTATTTGATCAAGGTTAAAGTATAAACTTTGTTGTTTCTGGTAAGATCATAATGGATTTTTGCTGACCAAATGACTAGCTTTAAATATTTATAGATAAAAGATAAGATGGGGAAGAAGAGATCTGCTGTATTTTTAGAGAAAGTGATAAATTACTGTGCTACAAATAAAAACATAAGTTCATTTCATTAAGGTTAAAATGGTTATGCTGTTATCTCAGGTAATATTTATTTGTAAAATTTGTAAAAAAAATCTTAATGTGCCTTGCTGATTAGGATTAAATGAGGGTTTAAGAATTGTTTATACATAAGATGAGATATGGGAGGAAGGGAGCTTTTGTTGTATTAGAGAGGGTGATATTAATGAAATTGTACTTGACATGATGAAGGGGGAAGTTATTTTCTTATATACATTTTCTTTACTATACATTATTTTCTCTTTATATTTTTTATTCTTTGTATTTTTCTTAGTTTGTAGTTTTTATCTTTGTAACTATAAACTTTAATAAAATTGTTACAAAAAAGAAATATTCATATTGAATGGTCAAAATAAAATGTTTCATTTTACAGACCCTTCTCCAGAGAAAGTAATGCTTGTGCCTGACATAGAGCAAGAGGTTAGTTAATTATATAATTATAAAAGTTGTATTAAAATTTAGATTGCATTAATTTGGGATTTGGTTATATTCATTATTAATATTTTGTGAGATAATAAGAGGGTAGCTATTTTAGATCAGCAGCTATACTCCATGTCAAAATGAAAATAATATTCCTATCAAAATACAGAACCCTATTTACTCATGTGTATAAAATAGCTCATCAGTGTATTTATTAATTATCTGGTAATGTATTGGCAAAATGCAATCTTTAGTACAGTTTTTTTTTGTAAAAGTTTCACAAAACATAATGAAAATAAAGTATATTTTTTTGAGAACAGCATGATTCCAGGTTATCACATCTTCATACAGACATAATCTCAGTTACATATTCATCTTATATATTCAATTTCATATCTTGTGACTATTTTATCAATTTCTCAATAATTTTTCCCTTCCCTTACTTTCCTCAACCTTATTTTATGATTGTCTCATTCCTTTCTAATTCAATCTTTTTCTAAATTTCTATATCTTTCTAGTCATTATACTTGTACTTTTGTCTGTCCTGTTTACCATTTCATATATTCTTTTTCCATTATCATCCTGAAAGGGAAAGGAAAAAAGATAATTCCCTCCCCTTCCAAGAATTAAAAAGCAAGGTTTTCCCCTATGATTACCAAGTAGAGTGTGTCACCTTTAAATCTTATAATTATTATCCTTTCAAATCTCATCAAACATTTAATTTATACATTATACAATTATAACATTCAGTTTCTAATATCTATTTTATATCATATAACTCTCATCAACCAAATTCCGCTTGGTACTTTCCCTTAAGAATACACACTAAATTCTAAAAAAAGAAAATATATATAAAAATAATGAATAAATTAGTTATTCTATTCAAAATCATCCTGGCAGCTGATATTGATTTCATTAAAAATCTTTTGCATTTCTTTTCAATTGTAATTTTATAAATCATCAAGTATTTTTATTCCTTCTTATTTCCATTTATTGCCTTTCTTTATTACATTTAATTATTAGTAAGCATACCATTACATAACAATACCAGTTTTATCTTTCACTTTAATCACCTATGTTTCATATTTTCTAGCTCATTACCATTTCTAATATAACAACACTATCTCTTGTACCCTTGCAGAATCCTCTTTTAATTTATATTTTAACCATTATCTCTAATGGCTAATACCTTTAATCCTTGTACGTTTCCCGTTTCTTTATTTCCTGTTTCTGTCCCTTATAACTTCTTTTCCTTTTTATCTTTCCCCTCTTTTTCTCACCACCCTTTTTGTCCCCCCCCTCTCTGATTCTCCCTTCTGTAATCCTCTCTTATGCTTCTTCCTAATGTGTTTATTTTTCAAACTATTCTTTTTTTTAGTTGTTTCCTCAAATCTTGAATTTTTAACTCCTTTCCCCCCCCTTTTCCATTTTACCCCATGTTGCATTGTTCGATCATTAAAGATGGCTTCTTCTTTGTCCAACCCTTCTTGTTCTTCAAGCATTTCTTGTTGTTTTTCATAGTTCAAAATCTCCATTTCTAAGAATTGAAGTGCAAAGCCAAAGGATCCTCCTCCCTCTTGTGACTCTTCTTTCATTTTTTAAGTTCCATTTTTAATTCCTCAAGGAGTACTGCCATTTTAAACACTTTTAAACAACCACCCGATTGATTTTAATTCAAACCGCTAAAAATCCAACACCCAAAATTCCAAAAATTGCCAAGTAATCCAATGTTTCTTCTTGCTTCTTTCTTCCACTTTTCCTTTCCGGGGGCTCTGTTATCTTTTACCAAAGTTTCAGTTACAATGTATCCTTTGGAAGTCTTTTTAAAGTTTCACTGTTAATTCCTTTTATTTCCAGGTGGCACTCTCTGTTGCTTCCAAGTTCCACCCTTTCTTTTTTTCCTCCACTTTCCTCCTTTTAAGGGCTTTAGAGTATCCAGAAAATCTTTATTTTCCCTTTGACACTTTAATTTCAGCTTAAAATTGCTATTAGTGTCAAAGTAAATTAACACAAATTTATTATTTAAATTTCTTCTTAACATTCAAAGCCGATTGTAACTGTCAATATGAGAAGAAAAAATCTATTTTGCTTTTCCCCTCTCTTTGCTAACACTTTAAAAAATCTTCTTTTAGGAATAACACTCTTAATACTTTTAGTTCCAGGGTACCTTGCATAGATGTTGTCTCTGCTTAGCCTGGTCTGTCAAGCTCTCCCCTTTGTCTTCCCTCCTGCTCAATCTTGTCCGGTCGGGTTCCTCTTTGAGGTGGCCATTTCTGACCACTGCTACAACCGCCTTCGGGAAAGGGAGTAATGGCCAGCCGAGGAAGAGAGATGTGGCTCCCCTCAACTCAGCTGGCAGTCTGCCCCCTCTTTACCTCTATGGTGTGGCTTCAGCCCCGAATCCAAAAGATCGGGCCGCTCCGGTGGCGAGCACGGATCGAAACCACGCACAATTGCAGATTTCGGTCCATTGCCGAAGAAGCCCAAACCAGAAGTCAATCTTTAGTACATTTTTATCTGCATTTCTATGACCTTATTGAAGTGTTTTTCACTCAATATGAAATAGTTCACATTTTTTTAATATAACAGTTCTTCGTGCAGCTTTTTTGTTTAATATGTTAATACACAGTTTAGATGTGCCAAGTTTATTATATTTCTTTATCACTTTCTAGAGAAAATAATGAACTTTTAATATTTGGCTAATTCTTACAGGTAGATAATGTAGATATGATTGGTTTTGTCCATTGTACAGCAATACTTTTGAAACTACATGAATAGGAAAAAAACTTTTATTGAGGGAAAGGTAACTATTCATACTGAAAAATATGAATGAGAACAAAGGCTATATATCATTTATCTTACTTCTCTGTTCTAAATGTATACTTACTTTAATGATTTTTTAAAATTTTAAATAGCTATCCATGACAGCATGTGACAGTTTCATGGATCATGAAATTTAGCCATCCTTAAAGAAAGCTGCTCATAGCATCAAACTTGTTTTTCTGATAAAAACTTCAGAGTTAATTTAGGCTAAAAATGAAACTGCTTTAGATTGGTGATGATTTTTTTGATGTAAACATGTAAGTAGATTTTTTAAAAAATCAACTTTTGATACAGTTATGAAATAAATACAATTTCCTGAAGGGTACTATTAAGAAATAATCACCTACAAGAAAAAGTAATTAGCTAATTATAGAAAATTACTCATCTCATTTTTTTCATATTACTAGTGCATTGCCCGTAATAATTTAAATCGTTGTGGATAACATTTTCTGAGATGAGAAAAATATTTTATTGACAATATTATAGCCTCTTCTTTTTATGTTGCATATTTTGAGTATATTCAAGGCCAGATTTAATGGCAAATTTGTGTACTAAAATGAGATAACACTTATTTAATTAATTGTTTATTACACTGAAACCTATTTTTGTAGAATATGGAGACAATGAATGAGCTTTATTCAAGGCTTTATAAAGAAGCAGAAAAGATTAAGAGATGGAAAGTCAGTGTACAATATGAATTAAAGGAAAAAGAGAAAAAATTGCAAGAAAATAGAAAGATCATTGAAGCATTGCGTAAAGCCATTCAAGAATTACAGGCAAGTTTTTATTGTATGTTGAAATGACTTCAAAATAAAGTAATACAGAAAATTAAAAATTCTAAAAACTTAACATTTAAGCTTTTATGCAATTTTAAGATGAGTTCTGTGAATGTTTTATTATTTTTCCATTGTATGTTAGGGTAATTGTAAACAATAATCTTTCTGTTTCCCAATTCATCTCATTCAAAATTTCAGAGATTTGTCAAAGCTGTTTTTACTGATTGCACATGACACTATCATTATGGATATGTTTATATACTTTTGTTTCAATAAAATTCATAGAAAAATGACATTAAGACTCACCCTTCTGTACCAAGAGTGAACATAGAAAATTGTTAAATAATCCATTTGTTTGCTGGGCATTGATAGCCGCCTTATCCTGTTTCACCCAAGCATACACTATCCCCCCCACCTTTTAGAAAAGATAGTATTTCTAACTTCACCATAACTTCATTGTTGCTGGCTTAAAATCTATGCTATATTAAGGTAGATTTTAAGTCATGTTATCATGCCATTGCAGTGGGATCCTAAGAGCTGGTAAGTGAGATGAGTTGGCCATTCCTCATCCAAAGTCATGAAGAAAAGTCCATGTTTTTATATTTGGGAGTCATAATTTACTCAGACTAAAACATATCATTTGCATCTTTATTAGTTTGAAAATGAAAAATTAAGCCTAAAATTTGAAGATGAAATACATGAAAACAATGAACTTCTAAAAGAGTAAGTAATACTAGTAATACATTACTAAAATAAATTACTAATAAAATAATTTATGGAACTTAAATTATTGATTATAGCAAGCGGCAATACCCTTCTTGGCTGATTTCAAACAAAGCTAAATATTATATTCATAGTACAGATAATCCTTGACAATTGGGACTGGAATTTTTATCCTAAAACCTAAGTCATTGCAGTTGTATGTTGAGTTTGATCCAATTTTAGTACTCTTTTTATGATGATCATTAAGTAAATTACTGTGGTAAAGGAACACTATAGTCATAAGTATGAACCCATTCTTCTGAATGTCACAAATCATGATCACATTATGGAGGACATTGCTGTGGATTATAAATATGAGACAGTTGCCAAGAGTCCAAGTTGCAATCACATTTACCTTGGGACGGTGGAATAATCATAAATACAACGACTATCATATGTGTGATGACTATACATTTTTCAGCACTTTCATAACTTCAAATGATTGCTAAATGAATGGTCATAAGTCAAGGAGGCTCAGTGGGCTGAGATAGTCAGCCAGTTCCAGGCCATGATACAGTCCCACTGAAAGAAGGCCCTCCAGTTCTTCGCCTTCAGCGGCACTTCCCTCCAGCCTTCATCCAAAGCCCCGCACTAGGAGGCTGAAGCAGACCCCAAGTTGGAATTTCTACCCCCCTCCGACCCACACAAAAAGATCCCAAAGGCGGAGACTCTCTGCAGCAACACAAACATTCATTGCACATATCCGGCCCAGGAGTTTGAGGACCCCTGATTTAGTGCAATATAAAAATGCAAATAATTTTTCTGCACAGCACCAACATTTTCTTGCAGACCACCAGTGGTCCATGGATACTGTGTATCTATATCTATAACTATATAGATGATATACTAGAGTGCCCTAGGTAGAAATGATATAGAACAGTGGTTCTCAAGCTGTGGTCTGCAGACCTATGGGGGCTGCGATATCACAGGTGTGTGTGTCTGTGCTGTTATGATTTAAATCTTGAGTTAAGTCTTGGAATTCTTAAAAGATATTTAAAGGAGATCTGTGGTGAAGAAAAGGTTGAGAACCACTGGTATCGATCAACCACAACATTTCAGATTTTTTTATAAACAATTTGTTATTATTGAGCAAGCCAATTCAATATTTTCTCTACTTTCATGAAACTATGGTATCAAATCATACCTTGGTACCAATAATTTCATCTCAGCATAGCTCATGACTGAAATAATTGTTAGCTGATCTTAACTATTCTGGTGATAAAGTAGCATTTTCTCTTTATTCTGACATTACCAGAGATAGCTGGAAGTTAAACTTTATCACCCTTTATTACACTTGTATCTCCCTTCAATTGGATAGAAGTGAGAAAACTTGCAGTGATTGGGAAAAGAGGCAATAAAAGGCTAGCTACAATTTGGTAAAGAGAATAGCAAATTTAATATCAATAGTGTTTTATGCTGGCTCAGGAATGGATGAAGAGCATATGCATTTCTTCTCAGCCATGGAGAAACGTTGTATGACATTTTCATTATGAATAAGCAAGCTTCCTTCCACAACAAAGCATTTCGTTAAAACAAGTAAGCTGTTAAAAATTTGCGCCTAGCAGCACAAATCTTTCCCTCCCCCTTTTTGGCAATAGGTCTTTTACAATCAGGTGATGAAACTACTCCCAGAATTTTTAAATTGCTGTGTAAAGAAATTTCTTTGTAAAGCAATATAATATTGTTAATGTTATCTTTTCTCTTCAGAAATAATGCTACAAGACATTTGTGCAACTTACTCAAAGAAAAATGTATGCAATCAGTGGAGAAGTGCAATAAATGTAAATATTCTTATCAGCCTTTACTTTTTTCATACTATATATCACATCAAAAATATTATTTTACTTATTTATATGTGAATAAAAATATTAAATTTATTAATTTTCTAAATTTCTAAATAAAAAAATGAGGTGGTTCTTCACAAAATGTTTTATTACATATACTATAATGTCAATCTTACATTCAGAACTATTAGGTGGCTGGTCAATTCCTCAAGAACTATCATGCCTAAATAGAAGTTAAAAAACACCTATTTAAAAAGGTGTTTTAAATTAAAATTGATTACTTGGTTCAGCATAGAATGGATGGATGAATGGATAGATGGATGGATAGGTTATATGCCTTTAAGTTGATGTCAATTCTTAGTTCTCATATAGGTAGATTTTCTCCAAGAGGATCTGTTTTCAATCTCATAAGTATGCCAGCATAATTGAGTGTACCCATATTGCTACTAATGGTCTTTTCTTTTCTTCCACTTTTCCCAGCATTATAGACTTTTCAAGAGATTAGGTCTTCATATAATGTGTCTTAAGTATCATAATTTGAGCTGGGTCATTTGTGCCTCAAGGGAGAACTCTGCTTGATTTGTTCAAAGAATCATTTGTTTGTTTACATGGCTAACCATGATAATTTCAAAAGTCTTCTCCAACACCAAAGTTCAAAAATGTCAAGAACATAGGAAGAAAGCATTTTTAAAATAAAATTTATAGAAAAATTGATAGGACAATCAGAAAAGCTTGCTTTATTATGACAGATCATAAAATATTCTGTCCTAAATACCTACTAACATTTAATCCTAATTTAATCCTAACTTGAATTATGTATTGTTATTATTACTGATATATATTATTTGACACTAATATTTCTTACTCTACCATATCAATTTTGTTAAAGATGAATGTGAACGAGAAGAAACCAGACAAATGTATGTGGATCTTAACAATAACATTGAGGTAATACACTGAAAATACTTAAAATAAATAAATGTTTGGACCTGTAGTTTAGTAATGAATTTGTAGCTGGACCCTGAGGACATTAGATGAGGCCATTAGATCTTTTAGCTAGGGATGGAGGAAATGGCAAAAAAGCAGAAAGAGATTGTTGTGATGCATCAATATCTAAATTGCTGTGGCCTTTACCCCCCCCCCTTTTTAAAATTATAGTTAAGAAAAACTCAGTGAAAATATAATTGACTGTATTGACCAGCGAGCTGTGGTGACATAGTGGTTAGAAGACAGTATTGCAGGCTAATTGCCAACAGTTAGATTTTCACTGGTTCAGGGTTGATTCATCCTTTCATCCTTCTGAGGTCGCTAAAACGAGGACCCAGATTGTTGGGAGCAATATGCTGACTCTGTAAACTGCTTAGAGAGGGCTGTAAAACACTATGAAGTGGTATATAAATAAGTGCTATTGCTATATTTGTCTAACGTTTATTTCATTATTCTGTTTTAATGTTTTGGAAAGATTTTATTGATTTATTTCCTTTATAGCCCACCTAACAACCTGGTCCAAAGTCACCCATAGACTGATTCTGGATGAGCATGGAATTCTCATTATCAATCGTATCTATAATTACTACCATACCACACTAATTCCCAATAAATAGTATGCCATCACATCATATCTAGAAACTTCATTATTGCTTGAACAAATGGAATCTAAAAAAAGTAATAATTTAAAAAAATGAAGAGGAAGTTGAACAGTAACTAGTCCTGAACATAGAGAAAGTATTGCAGGCAAATATCAATGACTGAATATTATATTAATATCATGGGACACTACTGTACACAATAAATATTATTGTTACTCTGAATATCTTTATAAAATATGACTATTAATTTCTTCTGGAACATTTGTTTTTACCCAATTTTATTTACATTTTTAGAGAATGATAAAGGCTTTTGAAGAACTTCGTGTACAAGCAGAGAACATCAGACTGGAAAAGTATTACAAAAGTAAGAATATTATATCTGGCATATGTTTGATGCATAATAAACTACCAAACTAAAATAGTCATTAATATTTGGAGAATTATATAATCTTATTTGTTGTTTTCTTATTTGATCCTTTATGAATGCCACATAAGTCATCTTCAACAAATTAAAAGAGAGTTGCGAAAGTGTAATTTTGGTTGAGGTTTTGAAATTACTGTCTCCTGTTTTGTTATGTTCTCTTTATTATAAACACATATGAAGCATATAGTGGACTTACTTTGTTGAGACATTAATTGACATTCAAAATGTGGAACATATTGCAAAAAGTATATGTGGAATTTATCAGAGGTTCCTATTGGATTGTGTTCCTTGAGACCAGGAATCTAATCTAAGTAGGAACTAGTGAAATAGCTCTTTATAACTTTAATAGAAAAAGGTATAGGTAGTCCTTGACTTAACAATCACAATTGGGACCAGAATCTTGGTTTGAGCAAAGCAGTCATTAAGCAAAATGCTCATATGACCATTTAATTCAACAACTTCAGTCCAGTTTCTCCCAGTTGCGGTTGTTAAACAATTACCCAGATTGTTGAGAGATTGTGTGGGGATGCCTCAGGGAATGGAGCATGTGTGGGAAAGCTCAGCATCACTGATAAATGGAAAACTGCTGCAGGCTGGGAGGCTTGGTCTGGGAATAGACCCACTGGCATACTTGCCACAAGCCAGGAAGCCTGGATCTTCTCCCCTCTCATCATGCATTGGAGGCCTGGGCCATCTCCCTATCCATCATATCTGGGAGCCAGGCCTTTTCTCTGTCCTACCGTATTTGGGACCTGGCCTCTTCTCCACTCCTTCATGCCTGGGTCTATTGAATCTTTTTGTCTTTTGCTGCAGCTTCTGAAAGAGCCTTTCCAGCCTTCAGAACAACTGCCTTCACTACAAAGATTATTGTTCGGAAGGATAGAAAGAATTGGAGTCACAATACCCCTGAAATCATAAGGGCACGTGCACTGCCAAGTGCATTAATTTTGATCATGTAACTAGGTGCTGCAATGACTGTAACTATAGGCAGGGTTATAACTCTTCAGCATCATCATAAACATAAAACAGTCACTGAATAAATCAAGGACTCCTGCATTACAAATAATACATATGGAATGAGGGAACAGGAGAAGTTCAGATCCTAGTTATATCTTGGGCAGAGAATTAGAAAGCATTGGAATCTAATCTAAGCAAAATTAATGAATCATGTTTTTTTAACTTTAACCAAAAGAGATTTATTTACAGGAAGTATATTGTCAAGATAGACAAAATCAAGCACCTGCTCCTACAAGAGCTGTGTATGCCCAGAAAAAAAGCAGAAGGAAGTGACTTATATCTGATAAAGGCCATACACACATGTCCTGTTAAAAATATTCTTATCATGTACTCATGTTGGCTTGTCTCTAAAGTGGCTTAAGAAAATCCTGACAAAGTGAGACATTTTGGCAATAGCTTGCAAAAAACTTACGCAGTAGGTTATCCCATCCAGCATAAGCATCCTGTCTTGTTCCTTGACATGACTTTTTATCAGCTGACATCTTTAAATAGTATTGGTCTGCTATCACTCCAAGACTTGGTGATATATTTTGGAGCAGGTTACTTATTTGAGGTTGCAGTGAAATCAGGATGAGATATGATTTTAGCATACAAAAATATGTCAATTATCTTCTCATTTTAAATGGAGGACTTTATTATAAAGATAACATGTTTTACTTTCTTTACTAATTTAAATGTTAATAATGTAAATTATTGTTATTTTGGAAGTAAAAGAAGCATCTGATAAAATAGAACAGCTTGAAAAAGGACACAAGAGAGAGATAAATTCCATGGAAAAAGAGGTTTGTTTATGATTACTTATTTTTGTTAGATTAGTTATAAGTAATGGATATCAATAGCAATAGCAACAGCACTTAGACTTATATACTGCTTCACAGTTACAGCCCTCTCTAAGTGGTTTTACAGAGTCAGCATATTGCCCCCAACAATTTAAGTCCTCATTTTACCCACCTTGGAAGAATGGAAGGCTGAGTCAACCTTGAGCCTAGTGAGATTTGAACTGCCAAATTGCAGGCAGCCAGCAGGCAGCAGAAATAGCCTGTAATACTGCACTCTAACCACTGCGCCACCATGGCTCATAAATCAACATTTTAAATTATTTTTCTGAATAAATCTTTTAGGGACATTTTGTTTTATAAAAATAATATAGTAGTTGGAAGTCCTTAACAGTAAATTGAAGCTTTCTCTTAGAAGGTGGTCACAATCAGTTGTAATAAGAACATAGTAAAGAGATGAGTTAATGCATTTGAGAGAAAAAAAGGTGGTGTTAAATTATTGAAATCTCCATTCTACATTGAAAGGAAGACTAGCAGAATTTAAAATACGTTTTGTTAAAAATCATGGATTTCCAAGATCCATTTTTATCATCAACTTCAACCCCCCTGCTTGGTTCATGAATCCAAATTGAAGCTTCCCAAATGTATTCTTTGTTGGAAGATGAATGAAGCGGAGTCAACCACTTGTGTCACAATAACTGTAGTTCAAAATGGAAGTAGATACTGGAATAGGGAAGGCGTGGCAAAATTTTGTGCATAACTCTAAACTATAGTGAGCAATATCTACAACCCTTTGGATCACATTAAATCTAGGAATAGTATGTTGAACATTGTATGCATGTATGTACATATATGCATGTGTACTAAAAAACCCACAAAACAAACCATACCAATTTGGAATGGGAAAACACATGACTTTTTTCAGGTTAGAAAGCAGAGACTAAAACAAACTTTTCCACCCCAGTAATAGTCTTCATTTGAAATGTCATTAGTATGAGAGGTAGGAAACCAACTAGGGAGTGAAATTAAATTCCTTCTTTCCTACACTATATCACAATCCCACTTAAAATGTTTATTTCCTTCCACAGGAAGGCGTGCCATCCTGACTGCAAATTATAACCCTCTAATGCTAGTATTCTTTTATTCTTGTGGTTTATTCAGTCTTTCATCCATGTGAAAATTGCAGCTCTATAATACAATTCCCAGTCAAGTAGGCCGAATCCTTCCTTTTCTTTGGTATCTTGCAGCAAATTCAATTTGATTCTGGGTTTTTTTCTTTTGCCATATAAAACTCGACATCAATTTGTTCAAATTATTAAAAAACTTTTTTTCCAATTTTATGGATGCATTTTGAAAAAGAAATAATAATTTGGGTAATATGTTCATTTTTACTGCCACTATCCTCCCCATAAAAAATAGTCTTAATTTATCCCATTTTTCTAGATCTTCTGTTATTTGCTTTATTAACGGGTTGTAGTTATCTTTTTTATGCCTCGCCGAAATTATAATCCCCAAATATTTTATTTTGTCTACTATCTGAATGTCCATTCTCACTACTAGCACTTCTTTTTGTTTATTTGTCATATTTTTTGTAATTATTTTTGTTTTCTCCCTATTAATTTTTAGTCCCGCAACTTCTCTAAATTTTTCTAAATTGTCTATCAATTTTGGTCCCGAATTTTGTGGCTCTTCTAATATAAAAAGTAAATCGTCAGCGATGGCTTGCAATTTAAACTCTTCTTTTTTATTTTTAACCCTTTAATTTCTGTTTCTTCCTAATTGTTCTTGCTAAAACCTCCAAAGTCAAAATAAACAAAAGTGGCGATAATGGGCATCCCTGCCTTGTTCCTTTTTGAATTTCAAATTTATTTGTTGTCCCCCCCATTCACCAAAATTCTAGCTTCTTGTTTATCGTATATTGTCAATATAACATTTACATTTTTTGTCCAAAATCCATATATTTAATTTGCTGCAAGATAAAATCCCACTTCACGTTATCAAAAGCTTTTTTGGCATCTAAAAACAATAACGCCACCTGGTCACAACTATGATCTTCGTAATACTCTATAACATTTAAAATTGTCCTTATATTGTTTTTGAGGTGCCTATGTGGGAGAAATCTGTTTTGATCAATATGGATGAATTCGTTTAACTTTTTAAAAGTCTTTCCACTATAATTGTAACAAAAATTTTGTAGTCCACATTTAATAAAGATATTGGTCTATAGTTCCCAACATCTGTTTGGTCATTTCCTTCTTTGGGGATAATTGTAATCATGGCTTCCTTCCAGGATTGTGGAATTTTTAACTCATCTATTTTAAGCATTTTACTACTTATTATTTCCTGTTGAGACTTATAAATCTCTGCTGGAAGCCCATCTGGACCTGGTGCTTCATTGTTTTTCTGTTTATTTATTGCCCAATTGACTTCCTCTAAACTTATTTTCCAATTCAAGTTTTTTTCCTCATCCGAAACTATTATAAGTTCTATTTTCTTTAAATAATCTCTCACTTTTTCCTCTGTTGGGTATTCCTCTTCCTTATATAATTTCTCATAATATTTTTGAATTATCTCTCTTTTTTTCTTCTTCTTGATAACAAATTTCTCCATGATCATTTCTTAATTTGGTAATCCATCTCTTTTCTTTTTGTTTTTTCAATTTGTGGGCCAACCAACGAGCTTGTTTATTTGCATTTTTGAATAGATATTGTTTTTAATTGTTGGGCTAGTTCCTCCTTCTCTAATAAGTTTATTTTGTGTTTTATTAGGTCCATTTGTAATTTTATTTGTTTTTCTTGAGGTTCCTCTTGTAATTTCCTCTCCAAATCTTTATATTCCTCTTCAAATGTTTTTGTTTTGTTTTTTCTCTTTATTTTTTTTTTGCCATATATTTTATTGCCATGCCTCTTATCGACACTTTTACTATATCCCAGTTATTTTGTGGAGATGTATCCTTCTCTTTATTTTCTTCAAAAAAACCCTCCAATTTTCTTTTCAATTTGTTCTCCTTTGTTCTCCTTTTCAAACATCCCGCTGCTGCTCGAATTCAGCGTTGGGAAAGGAGAGCGAACCAGAGTGGCTTTGTTCTCCTTTTCAAACATCCCACTGCTGCTCGAACACAATGACGGTGGGATGTTTGAAAAAGAGAACAAAGCCACTCTGGTTTGCTCTCCTTTCCCAAAGCTGCGTTCGGGATGAGACCCCGCAGGAATCACCCCATTGAGACCCTTGCACCGGAGTGTGCAAGTCAATGGAGTGATCCTGCGGGGCCTCACCCCGAATGCGACGGTGGCGGGATGTTTGAAAAGGAGACCAAAGCCACTCTGGTTTGCTCTCCTTTCCCAACACTGCGTTCGGGGTGAGGCCCTGCAGGATCACCCCACTGAGCCCCTTGCACTGGAGCATGCAAGTTAACGGGGTGATCCTGCGGGGCCTTGCCTTGAACGCAGCAGCGGTGGCGGGATTTTTTCTCACCCCTGAATTGTGCCCTGCGAGGGGCCCACCTCCAGCGCCCCCCTGCCACCTCTTAGCACCCCCTGCTGGCCACCTTGCCTCTTAGCACCCCCCTAAGGCATCCCCACTGCCACCAGGGGGCGGTACCGCCCACTTTGGGAACCACTGGATTAAGAGTCACAAATGTCCCTTTCCTTAACTCTGTTACAATCTATTACTCTGTAGTTGCAATCCACTCTACTTTTTTTCCCCTCCGTTGCCAGCAGGTGTCTCTTGCACTTCGCGACAATGTTTCTCTGTCGTTTTTAAATTTGCTGTCTCACTCTCTTTATATCATCCATTTTGGTTCAAAGTTTCTTTACTCAAAGTTCTCCTTCTCAACCCCCCCCCCCCAAAAAAAAGAGCCGAGGCAAGAATAGCAAAAAATAGGGGGGAAAAAGAAGAGAAAAAAAAGATGAAATTCAAAAGACAAAAGTCCAGTCCAGTCTCTTCTATTCTCAGTTATCCACTCCGATTGCCAAGCTATCCTTTGTTAACACTGTTACTGCGCTTTCCTTTTATTTTTTGCTCACTTTCTGGTTGTTACTTTTGTTACTTTGATTGTGGTTCCACTAGATCACTGCTTGTATGACCAGCTACCAGCATTCATGGACGGCCATTTCTGGTCGTCCTTCCACCGCTTGCTCATTCCTGGATTACTCCATTTTCTGCCACAAGCCGCCACCCGCAACAATTTTCTGGAGTCCCCACTCCTTCAGCAAGCCCTCCAAGCTTCCCTTTGACTCCATTGAGTCCTGCAAAGTGGGGATAGGGTTCGTGTTTAGCAGAGGCTCCTGCTCACACATCCCATCTCCCTGACAACAGGCTCCATCCCCCAATGCATTAGAAATTGGAAAAAGGACTAAATACTATGATGTTTAGACTCCCAAGGAACACTAAAAACAAATCAAGAACTAAGGGACCAAGGGTTGAATATAGATTAGTGGTCATACCTACAGCTCAAAACAAGGTATAAAAAGGACATAGAAGAACATGGAATAGAAGTAAAACCAAGCCAGTTAGACAAACTTTTAGAGGGTACAGAGGAAAAAGCAATTTCAAAAAAGTATAATTACTTATTAGAATTTGAAATGGCAGAGGAATTAGTTAAAGGCCCAATGATAGCATGGGCAAGGAACGTAGGACATAACATCAACTTGGAAGATTGGGAAAAAATTTGGAAGAAAAATTACAAAATAATGAAATCTACGGTATATAAAGAGAACCAATATAAAATGTGTTATCGGTGGTATCTGGCACCTTCGAGATTAGCCAATATGTATCCAAATTTAAATCCACTTTGTTGGAAATGCAAACAAACAAGGGGTACCTTCTTCCACGCTTGGTGGCTTTGCCCGAAGAGTAAAAAATATTGGACAAAAATACAATTATGGATAAGAGAAATTATGAACATTCAATTAGAATTCGAGGTGGAAATTTTTCTATTGGGATTAATAAACAGGGAATACGCAAAAGAAATAAAATACCTAATTTTGCCAGGGGTGGGATGCTACTGGTTCGGCTTGGTTCTATAGAACCTGTAGCTGCAGAGAGCAGCTGACACCGAACTGGTTCGGTGTTTGGCCCACCCACCTGCCCGGGCTCTAGGCTGTCCTTTATTCCCTGCTTTTCTCTCCTCAGCTGCTTTACGAGGCACAGCTGAGGTTGAAAAAGCAGGAAACGAGGATTTTCTTGTAAACACTGCACACACGATTGCCCTCAGTTTGGAGAATTGGCAAATCACTCCACTGGCTGGCCCCTCCCCTTCCCGCCCACCCTCTCCTTATCTGGCATGCGAGCCATCCAACTTGCCTGGTTTGGTAAGTTGCTATTTTCCTTTTTCCTCCCTGACCATCAGCTGTTCTGCTCTGCTGGCAGATTTAGATTAGTTAGAAAGCAGGAAATCCTTGGATTTCTTGCTTTCTAGCTAATCTAAAAGCAGAGCTGAACCTTCCTTAGGACTGAAGTTTCTATTTTTCAGGACAGACTCAGGTAGCTGATTGGAAGATAGATCTCTAACTGAATCTGTAATTCTGCGAGCAACTCAATCTGCCTGCCTGCTCTGCTTGCTTTTTGGGTAAAAGTTGCTCTCTTTTTTATTATAAAAAATTCAATATTTACATACATGGTGTTTTGTGAGTTAATTTTGTGAGTTTACTTGCAAGCAAATTTTATGAGTTTGCTTGCAAGCAAATTTTATGTGACAGACTCAGGCAGCCGATTAGAGATAGATAGATCTCTAAGTGAATCTGTGATTCTGTGAGCAACTCAATCTGCCTGCCTGCTGTACCTGCTTTTGGGTAAAAGTTGCTCTTTTTTTAAATAAAAAATTCAATATTTACATAAATATCTATAATATTTACATACAAGCCATGCCCACCCAGTCACATGACTACCAAGCCACACCCACATATTAGGCCACACCCACAAAACTGGTTGTTAAGAAATTTGAATCCCACCCCTGAATTTTGCATATAATTACTGCAGCAAGGATAGCATTTGTGCAATGTTGGAAGGGTGATCGTATGCCAACAGAAAACCTGATAATCCAAAAAAATCTATGATTGCACTGAAATGGACAAACTTGCCCTAAAATTAAAAGAAAAGGAAGACTCAAAATATTATACAGTCTGGGAAAACTGGTATAATTGGATAAATAATAGAAACCAGTGAGTAAATAGATAAGGAAGGAAAAATATAAAGAGGTTATAATAGGAGTATTAGCCAAATATAAGAAATAAGTATTAGAATATTGTATGATAAGGAAGCATTGTCTAATTAATTTGTAATGCATATGTTCTATGGTTTTGGTTTCATTTTTAACAAAATGTTTTGTGCTTTGTATATATTTTTCTAATGTTTAATAAAGTTTATTTTAAAAAAATATTTTCTTAAAGCTGTGATTGGCAAGAAGAAAGTTATCTTCTTGCATTAAAATTGATAATGGATGCTAAAATATCTCCTGACTAAAATCACTGGTTTCCCACTTAATCAAGATGAATAGCTGACATTAAAGTTTTACTTCCCTCTGTCCTCCTCTTATGTCACAGTCTCCACTGCATTCAGATCAATAGGGAGATTGTGAACTCACCACAATAAAAATCGCTATTGTACTTAAAAAGCCTGGGATAGTGAAATTTCCTTACTGCTAAATGTGGAGGGACTTAGCTCTATAAGTCATGAAGAGATCAACTGTGAATTGTTTCATTCTTAGTGTATACCTTGTCCTTGTCTGGTATAACTTCAAAAAATTTCTGTTCCATTTTAGTTTTATTGCTTGTGTCAGGTGCAAACGATCAGAACCATACGTTAAGTTGCAGTTCAGAAGATTTATTTCTCAAGTCTAAACAGAAGAATCTGGTCAAATAGTGGTCAATACTAAATTGGCGCTAGACAGGAATTAACTGAATTTGAGGTGGAGGGGGTTGGACTTGGGGCTGGATTGCTTATGGCAATGTAATGACTCCAGATGACTCCCTTAACTCATTTTTTGGCTTTGCCTCTTCTCCTATACCTTGTCATATAAAAAAAATCTGTGTAACAAAGAATATGAAACTCAAATGGAATTTTGCAAACATGACTTGTCAATTATTTATTTTATTAGATTTCTATACTGAAAGAAGAAAATGGTAAAAAAGATAACAAAATAAAACAGACAAATAGTCAGTTACAGGAATCAAGTTTGTTAATACTTGAATTGAAAGAAATAAGAAGTAAGTATTTTTATTTCTATCCTAGTTATCCTCTTTTTGTTTCTCTCTGTGTGTATGTGTCTGTCTCTGTCTGTCTGTCTGTCTGTCTGTACATTCAATTGATTTATCTCCTCTATCCTCTCTGTTCTGTTTCTTTTTCACTCTACTGCTTCTTCTTCCACCTCATTTCTCAGTCAATGTACAGTATAATCATGTTTCCTCCAAGCTCTGTGATGTCTTGGCAAACACATTTTCATAGTATTGTACCATTTCCCCTATATTAGAATCTAAGAAAAATTCCATGCATGATAATTCTAAAGGGAAAAACAGCTCAAGAAGCATGGGAAGCTCTGAAAAATATAATCATAAAAGCCCAGTTCAGCACAATACCACTGAAGAAGAAAAATAAGAAATCCAAGAAGAAACAGCATGGTTACATAAAGATCTCTCTGATAATCTGAAAGCAAAAAGGACAAGTACAAAAAATGGAAAGAGGGACATATAACTAAGGCAGAGTATCTTGACAGACTTGAACAATGGGCACTATCCAATAAAATGAAATTTAACATGGAAAAAAGTAAGGTTTTACACTTAGGCAGGAAAAACCAAAGAACAAATTAGGCAAAATCTGATTTAAAAACAGTAACTGAGAGGGAGCTTGGAGTCCCAGTGGATGATCATTTAAATATGACCCAGCAGTGTGCGGCACGAGCCACAAAAGGTAATATAATCCTTGGTTGTATAATCAGAGGCATGGAATCAAAATCATGTGAAGTATTAGTACTGCTTTATAAAGCCTTAGTAAGGCCATACCTGAAATACTGCATCCAGTTTTGCTTACCATATTACAAAAAAAGATGTTGAGACTTTGGAAAAAGTGCAAAGAAGACCAATTGAGATGATTAAAGGCCTGGAGACAAACAAGAACTGGGTGGACATGACATGAGAAAAGAAGAACTGGGGAAACATGATAGCAGTATTCGAGTACTTGAGAGGTTGCCACAATGAATGATCAACTTATTTTCCAAGGCACCAGAGGGTAGGACAAGAAACAATGGAAGGAAACTAATCAAGGGAAAAAGAAACCAGAAATTAAGGAGAAACTTCCTAACACTGAGAACAAATAATCAGTGGAACAGCTTGCCTTCAGGTGCTTCATCACTGGAGGTTTTCAGAAGAGACTAGAGAGTCACTTGTCTGAAATGGTATAGGGTTTCTTGCTTAAGTAGGGGGTTGGACTAAAAGACCTCGAAGGTCCCTTCCAGCTCTGTTCTGATTGATTGATTGGTTATATCTGAACAGCTTAATACATTTTAGTGAAAGCAGTTTCCTTGCATTGCAAATCTAGCAATCTATAATGACACCGGAAATCTTAGTAATGATAGCATTTTCGAATAGTATAAGTGTCTTTTCCTCACTTGTTTTTTAAGCTCAGATGAGGAAGAATTGAGGGAAGGAAAACATTGTTTATTTTTAAACCTACTTTTCTGCTGTTACATATGTATTTCCCAAAGTTCAAAAAGAAACCCTTGAATTCATTACATTCCTGCACTTAATAACTATTGTATAGATCAGAAACCTCTTTGTATCTTTTTTCTTCTTTCTTGCACACTATGCCCTCCTCCTCCTCCTCCTCCTCCCTTCCTCCCCCCTCCCCCCCTGTGTTTATGCATAATTAATTTATTAGACTTTTTTCACTTCTAAAATACTCCGTGAATTTTACTGGTGTTTCAACCACCAGTGTAAAACAATATGTATTAGACGCCTGCAAAAATACAGAATTGTATTTATTTATTATAAGAAAATAAAAGGCAGCTTGAACTAGGCACAGAATCAAAAAAAGGTTATAATATAATATTTCACTTTGTTTTTCTCACTCTGCTTGGTTTTTCTGGCTTTTCTTTTTCTTTTTGTTGATACTCCTTCAATTTTATCTTTTCCATTAGTTTGGGATAATCAGTTGGGTGGAATAAGAATTGTCATTGATGGAAGTGCAAATCTAACAGTGCTGACTCTTCAGCATTCATGATGTACTATCCACAAGAGGGCAGTAAGGTGTAGAGAAAGAATTAAAGATTTGTTCTGTATGTTCCCTTTGTCTTTAACATAGTTCTTGGTCTAAAAGATTAATCTGAAGTCACTTTGATCCCTGGCACAAATGCATAGGACTTGTGCTCTTTGAATCTCTTTTTTGTTACAATTATAACCTGCCTCACTTATTTTAAGTTATATTCCTGCTTACATGCACATATAATTCAGCTTCCAAAAATCACTTCAGTGGCTTTATCAACCTCTGTTTTTATTACTTTTCTCACTTTTGTTGCTACCTATAGATCATAATTTTTCTTTGCAATATAACAATATAACCTTCTCCTCAGTGGTGGGATTCAAACATTTTTACTACCGGTTCTGTGGGCGTGGCTTGGTGGGAGTGGCAGGGGAAGGATACTGTAAAATCTCTATTCAGAGGTGGTATTTGCTGGTTCTCCGAACTTCTCAAAAATTTCTGCTACCGGTTGTCCAGAACTGGTCAGAACCTGCTGAATACCACCTCTGCTCCTCCTCCCCTCCCCATTACCTGTCCCCCCTTCTCCACCCAAGCAAAAATGTCCTAGACCAGGGGTGTCAAACTCACATCATCACGGTGGCATCATGTGACTTTTCAGGACTTTTTCCCCCTTCACTAAACTGGGCGTGGGTGTGGCCAGTGTGTGATGCATCCAGTCCGTGTGCCATGTGTTTGATAGCCCTGTCCTAGACTGCGTATGTCCTTTGTTTAAAGAATGCTTTAAATCTAAAAAAGTTTTGCCAAGGAAGTAAGAAAAAGCTACAGGCTGAACTTTGCTATGTGCTTATCACTGATCAAAACAGTTAAAAAATATTGCTTTAAAAAGTTTTTAAAAATGGGTAGGATAGACAAGCTACTTTTGTTGAAGGTTTAGGCACAGATCATTGGGGGATTTGTTTGGTTCTTATGATTGGTGTACATATTGACAAATATTGCTTATTTAATTAAAAACAAACATTTTCTGTGTACATGATAGATAGTATAATTCTGGTCTGTAAACTTTCCTGAAAATATTTTGATATTTTATTTTTAATATTTAAAATTCAGAGGAACAAGATGAGATAATAAAAAAAGCAGAAAGCAAACAACAAAACTTGTTGACAGAACTGGAAAATACTACACATTCTTTGGAAGATACAAAGGTAGGACTTCACAATAGTTAAGTCCAATAATATTGAATATAAATGAGAAATCCAGGATATAGTTTAAATTATTATGAATATTTCCATTTAGTAGAATCTTAATTATAAAAGCATATCGCTACATATAAGTTGGAAAAAATGTACTTTTTATTCTCTTTAGAATATTTGTAAGAATTTAGAAACTGAGTTGCAAATTTCAGTAAAAACATTGGCAGAAGTCACTGAACAAAAGGAATTGATTGTAAGAGAATTTGAAGAAACTAGAATTCTGCATGCATCGGTTACTGAAGGGTTCCAGATTGAAGTTTCTAATTTGAAGGAGATGCTATTGAAAGAAGAAAATAGGTAAAATTATTTTCTGTGTAAATTTTAAAAAATAGTTATGACAAAGGGAAAACATCAACTTCCCTGTGAATAAGGACACAGCAGCAAAGTATGACTGATTTCAGACGTTGCCTGCTGGGCATAAAGGAGCAATTGTAGAGGTTGGAGAAGATCAAAGGAGATGGCAGATATCAAAGGCTATCTAAGACAAACCTAAAGAGAAGGAGCCTGCTGAATTACCCTTAATAGGCCTGTCTACCATGCAATGTCTACCATCTTTCTACACTTTCTGGCCTTGACTCAATTCGCTGTCTAGCAGAGACCAGTGAGCTGGACAGTCATGTACATTTGTTTAATAAATAAATAATAAAGTAGGTCTAAACTGATCATAGTGTAGATTTGCTTTTTTATGTGTATGATATAGATAATCTTTGAGTTATGAATGTATTGGAGCCTACCAATTACATTTGCAAAATGAGAAGATGTTAAGTGAATCATATTAAGTGAATGAGCTCCATCCAGCTCACCACAATGCATTTAGAAAATGAATGCACAGGTTATTAAGTACTCATGGAATGCCACAGGGCTGGGGAAGACCACAAGGGGCCTACTGCAGGAACAAAACTACCTGCCTGCAATGTCCCAAGGTCTCCCCTCACCCACAGATATTCCATGCTCCTCTCCGACAGCTGCTTGGGCATCCTCTGCACACAACCCTTGCACCCAGCCCTCCTGTCATTGATTGCTCACTCACCTTTCCAAGATCTCCAGAGCTCAGGATTCTGGGAAAGGAAACGAGACAGACGGTTCCATTGCTAGGCCACATGGCTGAAAAGTGGCTGTCCTTTTCTGAGACACTAGAAAAACCTCTCTGGTTTTTTTTTGTCATTAGATACTAGCCTTCCATTCCATAGCAAAAGCAAATGGGGAGGAGAGAAATCTTATTTCGCTTTCTTGCCATTTTCCTTTGTTCCCTTGCTAATGGTGGCTGGAGGGAAAACAAGGAAGCAGCCAGAAATCTCTTCCTTTAGAGTAACATTCCCTTAGACCAGGGGTGTCAAACTTAAGGCTTGGGAGCCAGATCTGGCCCGCGGAGTGCTTAGATGTGGCCCACAGGGCCATCCTGGAAATAGTGAAGGATCAGCCCATGGCACCTCTGCCAGCAAAAATTGAGCTCGTGAGGGCCACATGTGGCCCTCCCAAACTCCGTTTTAGCTGGCAGAGGATTGCAGGAGGCCATTGCAGCTGAAAATGGAGCTTGGGAGCCCATTTTCACTGGCAGACTGCTTGGGCCACCACAGGTGTCCTCCAACACAAGTTATGTCATGCTGGCCATGCCCGTCCTGGCCACGGTCCCCTGGCCCCCCCAAAGTCAAACACAATCCTGATGTGGCTCTCAATGAAATCAAGTTTGACAAACCTGCCTTAGACACTTGTCTCTGAAAGGTAACAGACATGCAGTTCATGGTGTTGGAGGAAAAACATGGAAGCCACTCAAAAACGTTACCTTTAGAATTAGTTTTCCTTAGATGCTGCAAACTGACATATGCACAGCTAATGGTTGATGGAAGGAAATGATGAGTTTTCTGGTTGTTTCCATGTTTTCCCTCCACCATTAGCAAGGGACCAAAGACAAACAGGAAGGAAGGGAAAAATGTATTTCCCTTTCCATTTGCTTTCACTGTGGAATGGAACGCTAGCATCTAGTGACAAAAGGAAAACAGAGGTTTTTCCAGCATGTCAGAAAAAGATGGCTGCTTTTCTGCCATGTAACCTAGCAATAGAGCAGCCTATTCTCCTGGCATTTCCTATTTCCTACCCTGGCATCCTGAACCATGGAGATCTTCAAAAGGTAAGTGAGTGATCAGTGATAGAGTGGAGGGGACCCAGCAGAACAAGATGGGGGAGAAATAGGCAGGAGGTACATGCTGCAGAGTCTGCAGTCGGTCATAAACGCAAATGACTGCAGGGATGCTGTAATGTTTATAACTTTGGGACTGGGTCGTAAGTACGTGTTGGGTCGGTGGGTGGTCTGTTGTAACTTTGAACGGTTGCTAAGTGACCTATCATAAGTTGAGAACTACCTGCTCTTTATGGTAGATTGTTATAGGCAAAACAGTTTGCTAAATATAGAATTAGAATGATCACTTAACCTCTCTGCTGTATTTCAGCTTTGTAGCCATATTTTATTTCTCCCATTCAATCAGTTTTTAGTGGTTTATAATGTGTGTTCAAGTTATTCATTCAGATATAATTCTTTTTTCCTAAACCATTCATTGAAAATTTAATATTATTTTAATAGGCAAAGGGAATTGAGAGATGCCTCAGATGCATTAGTTTTGGAACTCCAAAATAAATCGACTGAACTAGGTATGTTGAAGAACTGAAAACATAGGTATTGTTCTTTAGAACTACTTAAAATTGTAACAGTGTTAATTTTGTATATATCAATTTTATTGTTCATCTTCTTTCATGGTCACACTGCATTTAATATTCATTAAATTAATTATCTAGCCACCCATTTCACAAACAAACAACTGTGGACGGCCTATAACAGAGCTAAAAACAATAAATATATTAAAATACTTTTAAAAGTATAAAACAAAATAAAAAATAATAGATGAAGGAAAGTTTAAAAATAATGGAGCCATTTCACTAGTTCACCCATTTCTTGGGGTCCCCAAGCCTGCTGGCAAAAACAGGTCTTGGGAGACCTCCAGAAGTTCAACAGTGGCAAGGTCAACCTCATCTCAGGGTGAAGATTCCACCAGTGAAAGTCACTACAACAGAAAAGGCCTGCTTCCTAGAGCTACCTATGGCACAGGCTCTGTATCATGCCCCCCTCTGCTGCATCTGGAAGGACAGGCAGATGAAATAAGTGGGAGGCACGCAGGTAGCCTTCAAATCACAATGACAATTTGAAACAGATTTTCTGTTGCTAATGATACTGTTGTAAAGTGATACCACTTTGCTAAGTAGCAGGCACAAATCTCAGCAATCCCAGTTGTCATTCACCAAATCCCACAGTCATTAGGCAATTTCCGACCAACTCACAATCAAAGTCAGTGGGAAAACTGGCAGGAAGTTGCAAGTCTCAGGCAGGCAGGCAGGCAGGTGAGTGGCTACTGTTGAGTGAAGGAGGATTATGGAGCTGCAGAGATGATATAAGAGGGTGTGAGGAAGAGTTGGGGAGAGTATGAGGGGCTAGGTGAGAAGTGTGACAGGCAGGGAAAGTGCATACATGTGCGAGGGGGTACACAAAAGGCATAGTGTGAAGAAGTGTGCAGAGGCTTGGGGAGGGTGTGCAAGTGGCACAGAGGGGCTAGGGGAGGCTGTATTGGTGGGGGAGATTTATCCCAGCAACCTGCAATCTTCCCTGCTAGCTTCTCCATTGGATTTTACTTTTTAGCCTTTTTTGGGGGGAAGGGGGGGTGTTTCTGAGCATGTTAATGCAATCACTGAAAACATTCACCTATGCATTTTTTTTCAAAATTTAAAGGAAGAATATGACAAAATATAGGAGAATGTACCATTGGATTTTGGTTATATATCAATCTAAGAATGAATAAAAAATAAAAAAGTATATGTGATTTCATAATTGAAAATATTACATTATATTCTTAATGTTTGAATTAATTGCAGAAATGATGACCGAACTGAAAAATGATAAAGAAAAGCAAATTGAAGAATTGGAACCAGTCTTAGTAAGTGATTTCTAATATTTTTCCATTCAACTTGCTGACATTACATCTTTCATTTATTGAGGATAATGTCTTAACACTTTCTATTCACTTTTTTTAAAATCACAAACTATTAAGAGCTTATATTAAAGGGTCTACCTCCAGCATCTTATATTGCAACTGCCCAGGTATCTGTTTGCTTTAGCTGGGTAGCTGGGATGATCTTTATGTCTTGGATGATTCTGCCATGTTTACATACACATTGGTATACTGTGGTGGAATCTGGTGCTGAGTTGCAAGAGGAAAGGTTTTTTCCCCTTAATTCATTCCTTGCATCTATCTTCATATAACAAGATAAAACAGCCCAACCTACCAAAAAAATAAATCAAAAACTTAACTGTAAAGACAGACTAAGAATACAAATTAAAATAAGCAAGAAAATGGTAAGAGAACACCTACCCACTCTAGATAAGTTCAAATCACAGGAACTTGACAGATTACATCCCAGATTTCTGAAGGATCTGGAAGATGTGATCTTGAGACCATTAAACTATATCTTTCAAAGATCCTGGAGCACTGGGGAACTACCAGAGCATTGGAAATGAACTGATGTGGTTCCCAACTTCCCCCCCACCAAAAAAAGGGGGGGAGACAGAGCTAGGAAACTACAGACCAATCAGCCAGACATCAATACCTGGGAATATCCAGAAAAGATAAGCAACAGATCTGCAAACACCTAGAAGCAAGCAAAGTTATAACAAGAACCAAACACAGGCTTCTCAAAAACAGATCATGCCAAACAAATCTTATTTCATTCTTTAACAAAGTAACTAAATTAGTGGACCAGCAAAATGCAGTGGACATAGTATATTTGAATTTGAGTAAGGCATTAGACAAAGTAGATCACCACCGACTTCTTGATAAGCTAAAGAAGCTAAGCTTGGTAAATTAAAAAAAAGAGGGATAAACAGCATCACCACCAACTGACTAACAAACTGCACTCAACATGTAGTCCTTAATGGAACTAAATCTACATGGAGGGAAGTATGCAAGCAGGGTACCGCCCAGTACTTTTTAACATCTTCATAAACTATTTAGATGAGGCAGTAGAAAGGGAAGTCATCCAATTTGCAGGTGACACTAAACTAGCCAACACCCCAGAAGATAGGCTCAAGATCCAGATGGTTATCGACAAACTTGAACACTGGGCCCTATCTAACAAAATAAAATTCAGTGTAGAGAAAAGTAAGGTTTTACACCTAGCCAAGAAAAATCAAATATATAGGTACAGATTAGGTAAAACTTGGCTGAATGCTAGAAACTATGACAAGGATCTTGGAGTCCTAGTGGACAATCACTTAAATGTGAGCCATCAGTGTGTGGCCAAAAAAGCCAATGCAACCCTAGGGTGCATTAACAGGGATAGAATCAAGTTTATATGAATATTTGTACTGCTTTATAAGGCCTTAGTAAGACCACACTGGGAATACTGCATTTAGTTTTGATTATTATATTATAAAAAAGATGTTGAGTCTCTGGAAACAGTGCAGAAAAGAGCAACAAAGATGATTAGGGACTGGAGCTAAAACATGAAGAATGGTTGCAGGAATTGGGAATGTCTAGTTTAATGAAAAGGACTAGGGGTGACATGATAGCAGTGAGGGACTCCCACAAAGAAGAGCAGGCCACAACCTATTTTACAAAGTACCAGAAGGCAAGACAAGAGGCAAAGAAAACTAATCAATGAGAAACGCAAACTAGAACTAAGGAGAAATTTCCTAACAGTGAGAACAATTAACCAGTAGAATAACTTGCCTTCAGAAGTCGTGGGTGCTCCACTACTGGAGGCTACTGGACAGCCACTTGTCTGGAATGTATAGGGTCTCCTGCTTGAGCAGGAGGCTGGACTGGAAACCTCCAAGGTCCCTTCCAACTCTATTATTCTGTTACCCAAGGAGGTAACAGCCAAATCAGCCTTGAGTCCTTGTTATGCAGAAAGAGGCCCAGGAGGGATCCTCCCTAAATTTCACAGGATATGTTTGATAGTTATGCAGAGTAGGGGTCGCCAACCTTTTGGACCTCAGGGACCACCAAACTCATAATTTTGATGTGTGTGTGTGTGTGTGTGTGTGTGTGTGT